TCATGTATATCCGCTTCTAGAGCAGCATAAGCCTTTTTTTTGGCTGCTTTCCCTAGGCAATAGGGGGATTTGTGGCGGGTTTTTCTTGGCCGGTTTTTCGCGAATTTCTACGAAAAGCAATATCCAAAAAAAAACCTAGCGTTTTCACGGTAAATTGGCTTCTTCGCAGTTAAATTGCAAAAAATCCAATCGTTTCCGCTCTCCAAAAAAAAGGAAACCAACGAGAATTTTGCTCGCTGTTCACAAAGTTTTATTAAACTTGCTACTTGTAAATTTTTCCATTATTCACAAGAAATGAAATATGAACAGGATTTTGCGTTTTTTTTTTTTAAAATAAGCTAATTTATGAGTTTATCAGCTAATTTATGTCAAAACTAGCGGTTGGTATTTTCCAGAAGTATGTATCTCATGATCGAAAGACCTGACATAGCTGCGCCTCGTGTGTGGGAGCATCCTAGTAACACCACTAACATGGGATATCCACACCGACTGTCCGAGAGGATCTGGCGTTTTTGGTATTTTAAAATCTTTTAGGAAATAAAAAAAATTACTAGATAAACTGTTTCGCATTTCCAGCTTCGAACGCATAAACAATAGCAACACCACGTGAAACGCTCAAGTACCGGAAATCATCGCCATGGAAAGATTGCACTGGTGCGCCCGGTTTTCCATCTAATAAAGTTTCCAGAATATCACCGAACGGTACCGAATAAATCGTCATCTTTTTGTTTTTCTCCTTTTGTGCATAGTAGAACTAAATAAGCAATCAGTTCATAGAAGGAAGATTAAAAAATGATCTTTAAATTAAAAAAAAATATATATATCTGCCATTTCCAGGCTACGATGCCCCCATCCATCTTATCCCCCTCCCTCCCCACAATTTATAGTACAACTGCTATAAAAATATTAAAAAAAAATTTTATAAATACTCAATATGGGCATTTTTCCTCACTGTCTTCACTATGCCTGAAATGTCGTTTAAAGCTAGGCGCACAAATTTATTAGACGTTTGGTACCAAAGATCGAAAAAAACAGCTGAAAAAAATTACCAAAACAGGTACCGCTGATGGAGTAAAAGAAGTGAAACGAACCTTCCGATGATAAGGATCTTCAGTCCACAACATACGTCCAATATTACTGGGATGGACATCACGGAAAACATTCAGTTGATGGAAAATTAAACGTCCATCGGGCATAAGTTGCATGTAGAACGTTACACATTCCATATCGAAGACACTCTCATGCATACTCATATTCCTCAACACATAAACTGTCCTGTACCGGCTATCGAAAAGTACTGCAGTCTGAAAAAAAATTTTTTTTTGCTCACAAAAGCTAAGAATTCCAACTCGGCTAATATCAATGTCGTTAAGGCATAGGTGGATCCAGCACGGTCTCCTGGAAAGAGGGGGGCAGAACGACAGGTGTGGGGAAGAAAGTCTCCTCCCACTCTCGAACTATGCAGAAACTAGGAATACAGTTGTAACACTGCTGCTTAGAGTTATTTTAGGCTTTAGTTTTAGCTTTAGCAGATCAAAGATGTTAAAAATGTTGAAATGAAACTTTTATCCTTTCAAAATAGAAATCCGTATTCCAAGGACACTGTATTTCTTTAAACTCTATTTTGGATCAGAACAGAGGCGAAAAAACTGGTAAAAAAAGAAATATAAGCAAAAATACCTAAAAAACCTCTATCCGCAGAAGTAAGCTTACCACTTGTTCTTGAAGCAAACTGCCACCAACATAACTGTAGGAATTTTCTAAATTCACGTGGACTTTTTCGAAAAAATATTTGCTTGCAACACGTTTCCTAGGCCATGGAATTGTATACTGCTGTGCAATCAAATTTCCTGAAAGAAACCCGATTTTCGAAAAAAAAAAAAAACTAAAATTAAATTTTACCAAACAGCAAAAAAATGCTATAAATACAGAACCTATTAAATGAAACAGCACCTAGTACTCGAGAAATTTGATTCCAAATTCACCACTAACCGTACGCT